TAAATAAAAACGAATAAATGTGAGTAGATGAACTGCAAATAGGTACCTCATTAAACAATTATTGTGTTGAGGTTAAATATTAATTCCAAATGCGCTACAACAAATTAAAAAGAGAAAAAATAACTTAAAATTGCAGTAATAATTATATCAGTGGCGATAAAATAAAATAAAGTGCCAACTGGTTGCACGGTACAGTTTCCCTTTTTAATTCTTATAATTTAAGAATAATCTAACATGAGGGGTATGAATAGTGTTGCATATTTGCGAACAGATCTAGGACATTTTGCCAAATGCCTACAACGCCAACACGATTTTTTTATGGTCCGTATCGCCGACTAAGACAGTGCCCACATCGCCGACAAGTGTACAAGGGACACAACGCGGACCATTCCCACTTCGCGGACTGACACTACGCCGACCGTGTCCTCTTTTTGCATTAAGTAATTATTGCATTAAGTAACGTTAGGTTCTGAGCCTTCCAGAGAGCTATACGATGTTCCGTTGCCGATATTTCGATCGATTTATAAAAGCATTCCTTTGACAGAAATTCGTAAATTATGGACTTCGGCATTGGCCGAGTAATCGATGCAGGAATAACTCGATAATACAAATGCTGAAAACACCAAGACTGCGGTATTTTGTTGTCGAGATCTCGATTGACTTATAAAAGGAGACGTGAAATAGGACTTTCTTATTTCCAATTAGGGGTTTGGACTCCCCTTTCTTGGATAACAATCGGAAATTTATTATAATGTTTAAATAATTGCCGACGGTGAGCCCCTTTAATAACTTGGCTATTTACCTACTGATTGGATATTCAGCCTTTTTCTTTTAGCAACTTAGCTGAAAAGTATCTTCAAAATTTATTTGAAAAAACTTGTATCCATTCCAACAACAAGGTTGAATATATTGATCAATTTCAAATGAATACCCTAATTCCCAAATACAATTTCATTTTTTACAAAATTTCTAATAGTGATTTTCTGTATAACTTTATAATTAATCAAAAATGTTTATTAATGGCGACCTCCAAAATATTGTAGCGAATATTCCAGAAATCCCGATAGACACGGAGGCGCCATGAAAGATTAGTCATGCCGCAATCCTTCCGGGAAAAACCGTCTATTTTCAATTACATCGGTTGAGAAATCTTTCTTTTGTAGCCCCACTTGCAGAGAGGAGGTAAAAACCCTAACATGTAACAAAAGTCCAGGAATTGATGGTATATCGGTAAATACTGTGAAAATGTCAAGGATATCATTTCGCCTATCATATCTGATTTTTTTAATTCTAGTGTAGAAATTCGTACATTTCCGGATTCACTAAAAAAAGCATTAGTGATCCCAAAACACAAAAAGAGCGATGTTACAAATATGAATAATTATAGGCCAATTTCATTACTTCCTGTATTTACTAAAATGTTTGACAAACTTACGAAAAAACGTTTGCTAAATTTTTTGAAACAAAATAAACAGGTACTAGTCGGAAATCCATATGGTTTTAGGGAGGGAAAATCAACGGAAGATGCGTTATTAAATTTTTCTTCACAGCTTCTTGATTGACTTTTAGCGGGATTTTCATTGACATCACTAAAGCGTTGGATTCCGTGGATCACGATAATTTGTTACATAAATTATGGACTGTAGGTATTCGGGGTACATCCTTAGAATGTTTTAAGAGCTATCCACGAAATCGGGCAAAATCTGTACGCTATAAGGGAGCAGTGAGTAAATCATTGCGGAATGCCTTCCTCAATGATCAGTTCTTGGTCCAATTTTATTCCTCATTTATATCAATGACCTGTGTCTAGCCTACCTCCACGAAAGTTTGACTTGCTTAGCAGATGATACTGCTCTGTGTTATTCGGCACAAGGCATTCGATTTAGATAAGTTAAGGTTGTGGGTTAATCACAACAAAATGGTGGTAAGCACCAGAGCTGGGCATGAATTAATTCAAACTAAAATAAATTACTGATATCTAGTTTATTTAAAAAGTTGCAAATAGAATTTTTACCCTACACAGCGCCATTGTATAAATACAATAGAGAATAGACCATTACGTGTTATTCAATGATCATTGAATGCCTTTACTCCCTTTTACCGTAGCATAAATTGCTAAAATAAAAAATTATTAATAAATGAAATTTGCCGTGGTAGTGTTTTCTGATTTAGCATCTCCGAAAGGAATTAAGCCTTCATAATATGGCACCTTTATTGTTTAAGCCTTTTTTCAGTTCTAAAAAAAGCTTAATTCCATTGGATTTAATTCACCAAATAGTTCAAATCAATACGATTTATATTTATATAGGAACTACTTGTGTGTTAGCTATTTATAGGGAAATATAACTCATTACCTATACTGACGAGTAAATATTCAAGTACGAGCCTTCTTTGGGGGCGAGTACTTCAATTTGATTAAAGTAGCGTCATTTTGCTGACGAGTTTTGTATTAAATTTTACCTACCGGAAATCGTATTTTAACAGAAAATTTCAATTTTCATATAGAGCTTTTGATTAATGCCAATCTGTCATTGATGACAGGAGTCATTATAAATATATAAGCAATGTGTTGTTTGGGTCCGTTAACTTGGCCCCCCCACTGAGAGATTTGGTAGTCGTATTATTTTGAAATGAATGCGCTCGTTATGCGCTCATATGCGCCACCAATAATAACTCTTGCGCCATTATCGTTTTTTAGAAATCCGAAAAAACATTTGGGGGGGGGGCAAGTGAACGTAGCCCCCCCCCCCGTACGTATTTTGTCCTTGTAACTAGGTCACCTGATACATTTGGTTATGCGCTCAATTGCGCCACTTGAATTAAAGCTAGCGCCATTACGGTTAAGCCGTGACAAATTTTCAAAAAGTGGGGGGGCCAACTTAACGTTTTTAAAAGTTACTTTTTTTTAACATCTTTTCATACGAAATTGTACTCTCAGGTATGCGCTGAAATGCGCCGTAAAAAGATATCTTTGCGCCATTATTGGTTTTTGGTTATCCTTAAATATATTTGGGGGGGGGGGGGGGGGTGAACGAAATCCCCTATAACGCATTTTGCTACCGGTATTTGTGTCACTTGATACATCTGGTTATGAGCTCAATTGCGCCACTTGAATTAAAGCTAGCGCCATTACGGTTAAGCCATAAAAATTTTTTAAAAAGTGGAGGGTCTAACTTAGCGTTTTCAAAAGTTATTTCCGGAAGTGCGTCCATTTTGAAAATATTTTACATCGATTCGGCCTTCGGAGTAACTCCTAAATACAAATTTTTAAAAACCTACCTATTTTACTTTCCCAGAATCGTTTAACTAAAGCTCCCAAAAAAACACCCTGTATAGTGTTTCTGAAACACTATAATGGCGCCAAGATTTTTGTTTACGGCGCATTTTAGCGCATGATGAAAGGTACGATGTAGTAGAAAAAACATGTTAAAAAACGTAACTTTTGAAAACGTTAAGTTAGCCCCCCCCCCCACTTTTTAAAATTTTTTTATGGCTTAACCGTAATGGCGCTAGCTTTAATTCAAGTGGCGCAATTGAGCTCATAACCAGATGTATCAAGTGGCACAAATACCGGTAGCAAAATGCGTTATGGGGGATTCCGTTCACTTGGCCCCCCCCCAAATATATTTAAGGATAACCAAAAAACAATAATGGCGCAAAGATATCTTTTTACGGCGCATTTCAGCGCATACCTGAGAGTACAATTTCGTATGAAAAGATGTTAAAAAAAAGTAACTTTTAAAAACGTTAAGTTGGCCCCCCCACTTTTTGAAAATTTGTCACGGCTTAACCGTAATGGCGCTAGCTTTAATTCAAGTGGCGCAATTGAGCGCATAACCAAATGTATCAGGTGACCTAGTTACAAGGGACAAAATACGTACTGGGGGGGGGGGCTACGTTCACTTGGCCCCCCCCAAATGTTTTTTCGGATTTCTAAAAAACGATAATGGCGCAAGAGTTATTATCGGTGGCGCATATGAGCGCATAACGAGCGCATTCATTTCAAAATAATACGACTATGAAATCTCTCAGTGGGGGGGCTAAGTTAACGGACCCTTCCCTTTTTTGGTGTGGCTTGCACAGCTCTGGTTAGCACAAAACCAAAGTTGTACATTTTTCTCTAACGCCACTCAAATTTTTTATCTTACGAACAATCATACTGCTAAAGATGTGTCAAAATGGAACAAGTTGAAACTATAAAATATCTAGGTATATTATCCTGGATAATTGTCGCAATTGAATTCCTCACATCAATGGAGCATTATATGTATACATTGAATAAAAAATGTATATCAGTATTAATATGGGAATGAAAAAATTCTTTTTTTTTTTAATTTATCTGTTCGCGTCCTATCTTGAGGAACGTTTATTGTTCCTTGATTTTTACTCATAACAAGAAGATAGGTTCAGAATTAGGGTGCGCCGAAAAAGAATTTTTTTTTCTTTACGGTATACCGAAAAAAAACTTTCTAGGATTGGTAATTAAAATGCAACAAAGAGATTAGGATGTTATAGTGGAAAGCCTTTATAGTAGAGTTATAAAAACAGACTAAATTTTTCAAAAAAAGTAGGTACTTATTTTTTACATCTGAGCATTGAATAAAAAATTTTTTATTCAATGGTCTGAGGTAGGTGATCTGTCCCATCCAAAAGCGCTGAGGTCAAGTTATGGCACACCAAAGACTTTTTTTAACTTTTGTTGTTGAGATAACGAGAAATGTAGTTTTGTTAGGGTCGGGGAAGAACATAGTCTCGAATGTGGTCCATTTCCTTTTATATGTATTTCATGATGTGAACAAAAAGAAGGGTTGTAATGTGATATAAGTAAATTGAATGGAAGGATTAATCTTTGGCGCCGCAAATATCCCCGGTGAGAAGATCCGGAAAAATGGGCGCCCTAGAATTTGTCAATTGACAAAAAATTCCTATCCAAGAGTTACGTGAAGTCGTGCAACTAAGTGGGGTTGCATTACACCTGATTAAATTAATGTTAAAGAAAGAATATTTCCTTGTGCTTTATTTTTGTACATCAAAAACAAACATTTCGTAAAGCTGCACACTGTACTTAAATAACACTAGGTACTTACTTATTGAAAATAATGACAATATTTACGTATTAGATATATGACTTAGAAGTACTCTCAATAAAGTATGACTATTTTTTAGGTCACTGCACATAAAGTACCTATGACATTAACGGGAACAGTAGGTATTTTTATAGATGTCTGGGATAACTACTGTAGGTACATAATTACCATTAAAATTTTATGTAGGTAGTAACATTGATTTTTATAAAAACAACAATAATGATTATCTCTAATAAAATTGGTAATTTAACAACTGGACCAATAAAACCATTTATCCTTCTTCTACGTTTATAAACTGTATGGATAAAGACATTCAGATTAGACAGACATTTGAAGCTTACATGGATCTTTACATAAATAAATTTCACGAGAACTTAACTTCAGTTAACAATTAAAAAAAAACTAAAATTGGTCCCTAATTTATAACAAATATCTTAAAATTATATTCATAGAGCGTATAACTTAGTAGTAACGTAATAAAAACAATTGTTAAATGCAATTCAAAACGTACAGTTTTATCAAAATCCATAACGCTAATTTTAACGAATTTTACAATAAATAAATAGGTGGGTGCCTATAACTGAAAAACATGCGAAATATTTACAAACAATGATACAAAACATGATGGCTAAAACAGTTTAGAACTGCCATAAACGCTCTACCATCCAGTGGATAGATCTAGTGCCTCTAATTATTGTCCAATGTCAAAAGTTACTCCAAAAATATCAATATTTATAAATGACTATATGTATAAACCTGGACACGCTACAGGTATGTACAGTGATATGAAAGATCGCAACTACCCTTATTTGGTGGACATGGCAAAAGAAACTGAAACGTTTAAATCTCGAGTTATTTACACGTCTCCTTTTACGACTTCAACTAATTCGTGTGTATCTGCATTCGCTTTGTCCAGTTCGTCCATCTTTCTTAAATCCGAAGCGCTCAACATATCGACCAATCGCGCCCCAAGGCAGTCGCACATTACGTTAATGGTTGTGCGGAACCGGTCCCTAAAATGTATTCGATTAGCTCAGCTAATGGACACTTTTGTGCTACTTACAGTAGCCAATCTACGGCCAATATAATTGAAATCTGATCAGCAGGCAAACCGACAGTGTCCAAAACCATAACCATCGTTACTAGACCTGCCTGTGGAATTCCAGCAGCGCCTATGCTGGCCGCTGTGGCAGTGATGCTGAAATGTAATGCTGGAGTTTAGTCGGTAAAATCAAGTTTACCATATTGCAGCTGCATGTCCTATCCCCAAATCCAGTCCGTTTCGCTGAGCTATGAAAATAGCAGCAATTGCCTCGTACAAGGCGGTTCCGTCCATGTTAATAGTCGCCCCGACTGGTATAACGAACCGTGTCACTCTCGGATCCAAACCCATGTTATCTAGTGTTTGGATTGTTATGGGCATGGTCGCGGAACTAAAACGTGGAATGATCCTGGGGAAATAAACCACCAATGCTTACCTGGAGGCTGTTCCAAAAGCCGTGGCTAACACTTGACTAAGACCTGCGATTGTTCTAAATGGCAGCGTCCGCGTACATACAAAGTAAATAACGGATAATGTCCCAAATCCGTGCAGGAATAAACCCAAAAGTACTGTGCCAAAGTACAATCCCAGCTGTCCCAGCAAAGCCGCGAAACTTGGTATGTCCATAATCTGCGCAATTACCAAGAAGAAGACACCTACAGGCGATAACCTACCAAACTAATTCAAGTTACACATTTAAAATCAACTTACTCACCATATGACCCATCCAGTTATAATCATCATAGCTTCGCTCAGCCTTTCGAAAAATATGAGCAGAGGTTGTCCTCGGTGACCCATTTTGCCTATTGTAACTCCTAGCACCACGCTAAAAGTTACCAAACCCAAAACGTTTGTACTCCTCAATTCCAGTTTTTCTTCAAACTCCCACTCTGTGTAGTCTGTAATATGATTGTTATTAAACATTCTAAATTGTACAGCTTATTTTATCCACTATCGACAATTGGTATAATAGATACGTACGGTCTTTCAGGTCGAAAGTCTTGTTGTAGTACCGCGGATTGGCCTTGTACTGCTCGGGGACTTTTATCGAGATTTGTCCCTGTAAAAAGGAACCATTTTCAATAAGTGATAACAAATTAAGGCCATAGTGTGGGTACTCGGTATATTCAGTTAGCTATACGAGAGACAAGAAGTGCGTGCTCAAAAATAAACGTAAAGAATTTGGGAAAGATTGAAAGAAGGGGAGTAGGTATTGGTCACACTAGCTCGGTGTGTGTTTCTCATACCTGTCCGATGGCGGCCTCAATTAGGTTTGGCGGGAACATGTTTCTGAAAAAGAAATTCTTTTAAAAATGGCGTAACACTGTCTCGAAAGGTATGCAAATGTCTCTTTGAACTCTAAATATTACTTGCAATAGTCGATATAATATGAGCCCTGTTTTAAACCTGTACCGTTTTTCAATTTTTAAAGTTTTGAAGTTGAAGTTAAAAAAAACCAAAAAGAAGGCACTATGAGGCCATCTGCCAAGGTTCTCTGCTTATCAAAGTTCAAAGTTTAAAACGTTCGCACAGCCACCGATAATTTGTTTGGCCGTTTTCAACAAACCAGTAACGAACGAAGACGAAAAAGTTGGGTTTTAGGATCGGTAGTTATTGAATTCCAGGAGGCTTGCTAGTGATGCGGGAATGAGTCAAAAATCAACTTCATCCATACCGCATACTCTTAATCAAGAGCTGTAAGGGAAAATTCACACTGGATGATAACATCCCTGGTCAATTACGGTCTGGTGTCGCATTATTCGGGATAGAGAAATGTACTCAGTCAATTAGGCAAATTGTGCGACGGCGTACATGTGGTTTCAGCAGGATGGGGCTCCACCCCATTATGCAATACATGTCCGTATTTATTTACATGACATGTTTGAAAACAGGTGGATTGGTCGAGCAGGTCCGGTTAACTGTTAAACTTAAAAAAACGCTGACGGATCACGTGAACCCCTCAAGACAAACTACTACAAATTACTAAACCGAAACACAAACGAGAGACTACAGCGTTACCTCAATTATTTAATGCCGACAGAAACAATAGAATATTCCTTATGGAAAGCTGCAAAAAAGTTCATTTTGCATAAAATACTGACACAGAAGCGTGGCGTATTTCAAGCTTTTGTTTATGTGCCATTATCGGATTCATATTTATTTGTTATCCTGTACAGGTGATTCCTTTATATTGTTTTATTAAGTATTTATTTGTGTATTCAGGTTATCAGTTTATTATTAGTGTGTTGTTCTGTACGTTTGGATTTAACTATTCATTGGAGGGAATACAGCAAGCAGTTCGATTCTGAGCTGAATATGTTTCTCCTTCATCTCGTGCAGATTGCAGCTCTTGAACTTGAGCCTATTAGAAGTGGGGTCCTGTAATTTGCGAGGTAATTTGACAGATTGTTCGCTGCATCTGTTGTACATCGATGTTTTTCTTTACATTATTACGCAATTTATCATTTTACGAGTTGTTTTATCTCAATTGATCGTACATGTTCTTGTAATAAATTCATTTATCATGTTTTCCACATGCATTTATGTTGTCTCGTGTGATTTGTTTTGTCAATTTGTTTAACTGATAGATTTGATTACTTGATTTTATCGTACAATTTGAAATGTTTTATTTGTGTATTTTCTCTTTCATTTTGTTGCCGTAGTTTTGTTTCGTATATTTGACATTTATTTGGAATATGCCGGGGTTTTTATCCCGCAGAAGGTTCCCCTGGTATCGTTAGGTTGTTGCGTAATATATTTTATTTGTTCTTGCGTTTCCTTACGCTCAAAATTCTCCATTTTATCCAGCTCCCTTTCCGTTAATGTCTCCCGTCCCAACACATAAAATGTGCCGCGAACCGTCCGTCGCTTTGACTCGAAAGTTGGTTGGTTCTGCTTATATTATTTTTCCCGAGTGGCCAACTGTAACTATAGGGTCTCAGCTTGGTAAATCATTACATACTAAGAATTACCCACAGATCTCGGGCCTTTCTTATGGCTTTTTCAGATATTGACTGTGATTTTATGGAGTTTAAATGGCCATACTGCATCGTAAACAAAAGTATGGTAATAAAAAACAGTGGACATACTATTTCCAAACATATACAGTATGTTCAATTTTAGTGTATCTCGACTGTTATTAAAGACAGAGGCTTGCGTGAAACGCTTAATATCACAAACAGAATCAGTCTAGCTACGCTTGTTTCTGAGATACAGGGTGCAAACGAAAAGTTTCACATCTTGGGATGTTACCGTATTCAACGTAAGATAGAACAAGTATAAATTGTGCACAACTCTTGTGCAGATAAAGCGCATTTTTTAACCGAAATATCTTTTGTTTTGAAATAACCAATGGATATATTTCTTGCAGACGTCCCAATCGCCCTTTGTGAGTACCCTCTTCCGACAATCCGTTCTTGAGGTATAAGGGATAAGGGATAAGAGGTCGAGGAGGAGGGCTATGGTTGGTGGAAATTAATTCCTTTCGATGAGACCTTTCATTAGAATACCATGAAGGGTAGAACATGTGTTCCCCCCTCACCGCCCCCATTTTCTAAAGTTTTACTTGGCACCACTAAAAGCATGCGTATGCAATATCTGAGACCAATTGGTTGTCGTATGTAAAAGTTATACACGTTTTACTTTCAAAAACAGCATCTCAGGAAATAATTCGTGGGGGGGGGGGCCTTTTGGCCTTTTAGACAGCGAAATTTGATGGCCCTCTGGCACACCTTTAAGGTATAGGCTACCTACTGAAAAAATGCCAGGACTCTAGGACTATTCCCCTAGAAGTAATTCGAAACGGTAGGTGGGTCCGAACGGACGGACGGACAAAACGCAAACAATAGCAATTTTTTTAATTCTTAAAAAATTGCTTATTTTAAATGTTTTTTTTTGTAGATCCAGTGGTGATCTCCGCTTCTGGGATCTGACCCAATGTTGCTATTATTTAAATCCGACACCCTGTATATATTAGGCGTAATTCTTTTACTTTGTTTTTCCTGATATCATTGATGTATCACAATCTATGTATTTTTTAATTTTAGCGATAAACCAAAAATAAAAACCATAAGACTTTCTAGTCTATAACTATTGATTGAGAAGTCTGATCGAAAAAGTACGAATTGATTTGGATTCTACGCACCAAAATTAATAAGAAAAAGTGTTTTCCCGAGAAATTTTGTAGTCAATTTTTGGTGGGGTTAAGAAAATTCCCCCGGCAACCTACGGGGTAGCTGCCATAAGAAGCGAAAAAATTGAAAATTTTAGAAAAAAATTCGAAACTCGAAAACGGCGCCGGAACTTTGGTTCGCGCTTTCTGAGCCGTCGGGCGACGGGGAGGAGCGTCTTTTTGCAGCGGTGCCATTAAAAGTGACACCCCGGTGCGGAAACGGCGCGACCCGGAGGGTCGCTCTCGAAAAGGTGGTTTTTCGCATTTTCCAACTTTGACGCCTTCTACAGGCCGAACCGTTAGAGTGGAGCAAAACGTACAATTGCGCGATTGTAGATCTCGACGAGATCTACCCTTAGACAAGGAAAGAGAGGGGACCCGTAATACCACATCCACGGCATTCGTGAATTTCACGCGAATTTCGAGACGACCGCCATATTTTCGGTGGCAATGAAAGCGCGGTGGCAGTGTGAATTTTTTGACATTTCTTCATTATTGATAAAGTTTGTGTGTGCAAAACTGTGTGATATAAACGTGGTGAATTGTTCTGCGTACAACTGTAAAAGTTGCAGTGGTCGTTGTCCAGCAGGAATATCATTTCATAGGCAAGATAAAAAACGGCACGTTGTCTGGTTTGGCTAAATTTAATTAAATCTTCATGGTAGTTAATAAAACACTTTTAAGGTCTTCATTTTCATAATCTTACAATTGTCCTATATTTTTGTGCATCAATAAAATACTGCTTTATACTTCTTTTCATTGATAATTTCTCGATTACAGTAAGTAAGTGATATAACCTGCAAGCGATATTCCAGTGACGGCGTGAATATCTAGTTACATGACGTAACAGATATGTACATGTTTGGATGCCTAACCCTTAGGCGACTGATTACTTTGTATGGAGTAGTTTAACTACAGTGTATGTTGCCTTTGTATGCACTTACATGTAGTACGACAGATAGGATTTGGTCTTCAAAAGAGAGAGGTCATCGATCGATGTTCGAAGCAATACACATCGATCGCCGCCACATTCGATAAACACAAGATATCCTGAAGATCGTTATGATTAAACCCGTTAGGGGAGAAGACATCTCAATTCAGTATTATCACAGTCGTCATCGTCAACGGTTTGCTATAGTATCAACAGCTTATTACTTAAGTACAAGAAACTGAGAAAGGGGTTTAAAGAAATTCTTTTTAGACACGTTTTGTATTTGTCTTATGCGGCTATCGATTTCGACCTAACTAGTCATCTTCAGGCCGAGCGTCATTGATGAAGTGAAATGAATACAACATTTTTTTAACGATGTTATATAGTAGTGGTCAGGAATGACAAATTAATGTACGAGAGAGTGAGGTTGTGTATTAATATTTTAAAAACGCTGCGTAGAAATGGTTACAATTGATTATCGAAATCAGGGCTCCGTTCGCCTAACGTTCCGTGCGGTGCGTCCAATTTATGGCTTTCATGGACATCCTGCAGAGTCCACAATCCGTTGTTTAATAAAAAATTTGAGACAACGGGGTTAGTGATTGATGAAGCAGTTCCTGTACGTCAAAGAAACGCAAGATCGTTGGAGAATATTATTGCCGTTCGGAATAGTGTGCGAGAAAACCCCAGGCAGCCCATTCTGCAGAGTGCGCAAGAGATGGGTCTTTCTGGGACGTTAACTTGGCGGATTTTGCGCCGAGACTTGGGTTTTCAGTTCCCTAGTCTATGCAGACCAATCACAGTCAATTGCTGCCCTAAAGGCCAGTATAACTCGCTTTCTTCGTGAAATTCAGCCCAGTTTAAGCGAACATGTCCAAAATTGGTCCACCACAATGCAACGTCCACAGCGGAGTCGCGGGGGCCATTTCACTGAAATTATTTTTCATAAATAATGTCATCGAATATCCTTTAAAATATTATAAAACTTGTGGTAATATCACTTAAACAGGTTGTTTTATTTCATTTCAAAGTTCGAGCGCTCTTAATGAAAAACCCCCGGAAAAACCCTTTACTTTCAATAATATGGCGCTTATATCGCGAACCCAGTTTCTGAAACGATCAAAGTCCAGTCGTATGTTTACGTTTATCGCGTTTTTTGTCTCTCTATTCAGATAAGAACCTAATATT